CTGAGACTCCTGCAGCAGCACTGAACCGCGGGTGTGTGCACGGAATGCCAGTGCCGGGACAGCTTTGGGAACAAACTGCAGAGGGTGATAAATCTCCTGTCTCCCAGCAAGTGCCAGCTCTGGGAAGAAGGGGGATGCCCTATGGAATGCCCAAGGGCTGGACCCGAGCTCAGCCCCGCTGCCAGAGCCAGGACCCTGCTTTACCCTGGGACCTAACAGAGCTGTGTCAGCCTTGGAGCAGCGGGACCCACTGTGGGATTTCCCTGTGGGGAGCAGGAAATGCCTGACCTGGCAGCTGAAGGGAGATGGCTTTAATCCCTCACAGGAAAACCCCTTTACTGAGTTCCCCTTCCCTCGCCCCAGAGCCCCTCACCGAGGCGCTGGGTCTATCTCGGTCACAGAGAAGATGCCCATGGGGCTGCGAGTTCTGCCTGAGAGCTGACTGCAGGGGAAAGCAAAGCAAAGCCTTTTATATGCTCATCTTGGCTGCACTCCTCCTCTCCTGCTCCCCGCATGTCGTGTTACAGCCTTTGGGAGGATGGTCTTAATTTGCTGAGACCCAGTGACTATCTTCTTACTGCTAAGATCCCAAGCAACACCCCTCTGCTCCTTGCTCCTGCCTCCTTTTGGTTCTCTTCCCCCCTTCTTTTTTTCCCTTCTTTCCTTATTACTACAGGCCCGTTGCCAAACAGGATGATCCAGGGTTGTCCTCTTTGCCTGGAGAGCATAAATACCACTGGGGAGCTCTGTGAGACTGCAGTTGGTACGAGCTGCTGAGCTGAGACCTTGCACATCTCGCGCCTCCTGGGGCTGATTTCATCCTTTCCCCCCCCTCCTCCTAGCTTAAATACTTCAGATACATAATTGATTTTCCAGGCTTGGAGGAGCTACAATTTCCTTGGGACTTGGAAGTACTCTGCAAGGTAAGTGTAAGTTTTGGTCTTTGCTTCTGAAATATGATTTGGGGATTACAGGGTGGGTTTGTGCAAGAAATGTCTCTACTCAGAAAGCAGTTTTAGTAACTTCTTCAAAAAGTTGACTGCACAGTGTAAAATAGCACAACACTGTATGAGCTCTCCTTACGTATGCTTTTGCAGAGGCTACTGAAAGATTAATAAGCACAAATCTTGAATGAATGGGAGGAGTTTTCAAGTACAGGAGTGTGTTTCTGCACAAACAGAAAATATCTAAGGGATGCTGCAGCAGTCTCTAATAGCTGACTACCCATGGGCACACCTACCCTGCTCCAGGAAGCCTGTGTTTATTCAGCTCTGCTCTTAAGCCCTGTCTAAAAGGAATTTCACAGTGTCGCCACATGTTGTGTCTGTTACCAGTGGGTTTTCCGTGTGGTTTTGCGTAGGAACTCACCCACTTCAGTTCTGTGGGAGTGGATTGTAATGGAAGATCCAGATGTTTTGGCCTATGGCCTTGAAGATGCTGAATCTGTAGTGTTCTGTGCAGTGTTATATCCTGCGTCAAGGGATTTGTCATTCTGCTTTTCTTTTGAAGCCAACGCAGTTCTTCAAAGCTTGAGATGTGTGCATCTTGGTTAAACAGATGACCTGGGGTTTAATGCTTTAAGTATGTTGTGGCTTTATTGCCGGATTTCTTTGCACGGGGTAGAAGCTGATTCCAAGTAAACTCAGGCTAAAAGCTGATCCCAGGCTGACTCCTCTCTGCTTTGCCGGTTTGGATGCTTTGCTGGTATCCTGAGCTAACTTTTGCATTTTCCTGCCTTGTCAGCTTGTTCCATGTATAACTCTGCAGCTCCCAGGAGGCTTTAACTGCAAATGTCATCCATAACCAAGGAGTAGACATCCACTCATATACCTTACGAGGGAGGCAGTTAAAGATCAATAACCATGAAGAACAAGGTGAAGTGGGGGCATAATAAAGTGCAGAAGTCAGCCTGCACATTGCTTTGTAGCAGGCAGAGCTGCACGCCAGGCTTCAGACACTACCAACTCTTCCGTGCAGTGCAGACACCATCCGTTAGCTGGGGAAATAGCTTTCTAAATATAATCTTTTCCAAAGTCTATTTAACTGTTTAACCTGCTGTTTAACTTGCTCAGACCCAAAAAGAAGCCTCCCTTTTGTCCCCAGCTTGGACAGGCTTTACAGCACATCAAGGAGCCGGTTTCTGCTGACTCACTCATTTCTGATCGCTCCCAGATGTTTACCTGGCACCAGCATCAAGGGCCTGATGTGTTTAAAGGGAGGCTGTGCTAATGCTCCTCCTGCACCCTTGAAAACAACAGCAGAGGCTCCCTCAGCTGACTGTCAGCTGATAATTCTCTCTGAATAATGTCAAATCCCAACATAATTTCCGTCCTCCTCAATGAATTTCCCGTCTTCCTGATGTATCTCAGAGGCAGAGCCCCAGCTCCCGCAGGGCACTTGTCCCACTTTAACACATGTCCAAGTGTTTTGTTGCACCTGGGCATGAGGATATTGAGAGTGGCAAGTGAATGGACATCTGAAATCGATGATGTCCATCGATGTCAATTGATGAGAACTTTCTGAAATGTGAGCATCTTTCTGCTGCTTTCAATTAATCTGCCTCTTTGATCCCTGGTCCTCTCTTATCATCCTTCCTTTGGATGCTCAGCACTCCCCACCCCGAGCCAAAGCAGAGGAAGGGACCTGCACTCCCTACGTGAAAAGAAGGCAGTGCCAAAGTGACCTAATTTTAGAGGGCTGCTAATATCACAAATGCGATACAGGGAAGAATATCCCAAGGAATAATGCACCATCTGTTGCAAGGTTTTGGCTGGCTCATGGAACCAGACGCGTTGGCTTCACTGCGAAGCCGTGAGTGGGGCAGCTCCTCTGGGCTTTCAGATGTTACAGCTGACTTTTCTTCAAGCTGCCCTTTCTGTAAGTTCAGTGTTTGCCTTAAATGGGTGGTGGATACGGGCTCCTATTTAGCAAAGGGCACCCGGCCAAATGAAGGGGTACAACTGCAGCATGTATTAGCTGTCTGTTCCTGCCTGCTCTACCTACAGGGCAGGCTGCAGTTCAAACTGCTTGTGCTAAATGGCCGCATTGTAAATGGCTGTGGCAGAGCGTCTATTTTTAAACTCTTAGGGAAGTGCCTCAAAGTAGGAATTGTTCCCTGAATTTGGGTCAGACAGTCTACAAAAGCAACTGCTCGTTTTGCCTCCCCCTATCCCTATGTAGCTGGGTTAGAAAGCTGTTTGTGGGGGGAAGTGGGTGCCAACAAACAGGGCTGAGAAGAGGATGAGGTTAAAGCAATGTTTGTCCCGATGCCACCGAACATCCTGTCTTTCAGGTGTGCCTGGAGCTGGGGACAAGGCGTATGTGTTCGACTTGCTCTGCAGAGCAGGAGATAATGAGAAGCCCTTACCTAAACTGAGCAAATTACATTCCTGCATTGTTCTACCCAGGCAAAGGCTTTAATGCCTGGAGAGAGACTGAGGGCAGCTGGTTTTCATCTGCCTTAATATACGTACAAGAAGACTCAGACGGAGACTTTATCTCCTTTATGTTGACAGCCAACAAGTTTCAGGAGTTCTTACTGTTTTCAGAGTCTTTTTGAGTGTAAAGCACCTTGTGTTTGCTCCTGTCATCCTGGGTCTGGGGAACAGAGGTTTGGGACTTCATGCTTGAGCATAGCTTTTCCAGCTGGGAGCTGGAAGGCTTTTCCCTGCTTTGGGTGGTTTCCAACTCATCCGGTCTCAGTGTGTCTAAATCCTGTGTCACTGGTCTGAAACTTCTGGAATAACTCCTGCTAATCTGGGGTTTGTTCCTACATAGGAATAATTTTTGTGTGTCTTGTAACAGTGGTGTCAAAAACAGATCCTCACGCAGTGTTGAGGACAGGGATGGGGAAGCTTTCTTCCAAAATTCTCTGTCTAAAGAGAGAGATGTTGTGCTTGCACCTTCTGTACGGATGCTTATTGTCCTGACAGATTGATTCTCCTTTAGTGGCTCTTAGATTCTAGCCAAGGAGCATTAGGTGCTGCAGAGCAATGCAGCAGCACATGTTTCCTTCCCTGAATAGGTCATGATCTAAATAAAACCAGCCAAGACACACAAGGCTCATTAGATGGAGAAGTCAGGGCGGGGAGAGAGGAAGGGAGGAAGAGTTCGGAAATGGCAGGTGGAGCGGGACCACTATGGAGCAAGGGAATGGGATTAAAGGAAGCCATTCAAACTTGGCAATGACCAAATCAAGGCCATGTCTCCAAGCTCTCGCTGCTGACAGCTACAGAGCGTGCATGGGATCTTCTGGCTGTGGTTGGATGGGTGCTTTGGCTCCTCTCCTGATCTGCCATAATTCATATTGCTGGCCATGCTCCCACCCGCTGCGAAGCGATGCGTCAGCGAGAACACCCCAGTGCGTCAGTGGCCAGCAGGGATTTTGGTGCTCGATGTGATGGTGACATTTCACATAAACAGCCGCTTTCACAGGGTCTGGCAGCTGCACTGCTGGAGTCTGTTGGCAGAAATAGCTCTTGCTGATGTGTGACCCCACGATCCGGCTTGCTGGAAAGTTTAGTTTCCCTTTTATTCATGTTCATTCTCCATTTTAACAGCTATTCGGGCAAATAGGTTTAAACACTTCCCCTTCCCACCTGGTGGAGGTGGGATTGGTCGGAGCTGCTGGCACTGCTGGCTGACACCTGGCACTCTTGGTGTCCATGATGGAGAAGGCATCCGCTGCCATGCCCGGGTAATGCTTACTTGCAACACAATGTCAGTGGAGTTCCCTGGTGTAGTAAACTGAGTTTCCATCACTTACAGTGTTCAGGTCTTCCTGTCACTGGGGTGAACAGTAATTGCTTAAGACTGTAAGCACCACTCTTCCAAGCAAAAATATGGGTTGTGTGGCTTCATTGCTGGGAGTCATACACACCACAAGTTTTTCTGGCACTAATCTGACGGCCTGTTTCTCCCCAACATCCAGACCTGTGCTGAAACACAGGAGTTCCTGCAAGAAAACCTACCACCATCTCCATCTTCACAGAGGAGGCGACATGAATCCTGCCCTGCCTTGGATCCTTTGTCTGGGATGTGTGCTGCTCCTGACAAAGGCAGCCGAATGCTTTATCCTGCCGAATTCAAGTCACCTGGAGAGCATTCTGAGTAAATACCAAGATGGGGAAATCAATTCGAGATCCAAGAGAGCCATTTTATTCTCAGACAGACAGGAGATACTGATGCTCCACAATAAGCTGAGAGGGCAGGTGTACCCAGTGGCCTCTAATATGGAATACATGGTGAGTCTATTTGCTGATACCTAACTTTATTATAACACCTTTCTAAGCTTATTCTAATTTTTCTTGCATGAGTCGTAGCAAATTTCCTCTGAAGTTAAGATTTTCTTGAGAGGTTTCCTAAAGTAGTTTCATTCCAGAGTGAACTATGCTTTAGATCATTGGGCTGTTTTGGTTGGAAAGGACCACTAATGGGTCATCGAGTCCATCCGCTGCATAGTTTCAGGACTGGTTCCATTATTCATAAACTAGTGTCTGGCCCAGCCCTGTATGCATCTCCAGTGATGGCAATTCCACAGCCTGCCTCAGCAGGTTCTTCCATTACCTTAATGTCATAAAAGCATCAAATTTTCCCTAGTGTTTAACCCACGTTCTCCCTGTGAAAGCTTTCAGACTGTTGTGACTGGTCTTTCAGGACACCACAGTCTGCTTAGAGAAACTTCTGATGGTCTTTGGGGTGCCATCAGCTGCCACCCAAAGCCGGAGGCAGCATTTCCCCTTTTGCCATACACTGATCACCAGAGGTGATCGCTGTGGTCCAGACATCCATGCTGCTGCTGGGAATCTGCTCAGGACCTTAGAGAAACAGGGCTTGAGGAATGTGGCTCCATCTGCAGAGAATGCCAGTCACTGGAAATAGCTGGAAAGACTTTGGGTGTTCATGGGTGGGTGGGTCAGTGCTTTTGGCTTTCTGTAGTTCAGGAAACCAAAATAAAAGTTTGCTCAGTGTATTCTCCCACTTCAGAGGGAGAACTTGAAAGTGTGAGTATGAAATATGTCTTTACCATCAATAATCCAGATGAATAGGTTTTTTTCACCTGATGCCAGGGACCCTACTTTGAGCTATTTTTGACATGCCACCAAAATATTGTGGGGCCAGAAAATGATGTAGGCAAATAAAATTATTTTGTGTGCCTTTTCCCAATGTGCAAATACAGTTATGACCAAAACTAGTCTGACTTCAACTGTGTTCTCCTGCTGACAGATTAAATGATTAATGATTTGTTAAGACCATGTTTAAAAGGGTAAAAGTAAAGTACACTAAATGTGATATAAAATCATTTGCCAGCTGTGCTGGAATAAGTGCTGCAAATGGAAAATCCTGCCTTTTGTGAATGGAGGGAAAAGGAAAGGAGAAGGGAGGGCAAAGGATGGTAAAGAAGGACATCCATCCATCAGTTGGTCCTCAAGAGCATTCACACCGCTGGTCTTCCATCGCGCTGTTGTCAGAAATCACATGCCTTTCGAAGAACTGGTTCTTTGTTTCTTTCCCAACTCTCACGTTAACCTGCAGGCAAGGTACTGACAGAGAGGAGGTGACTGGATTAACTTCCAGGGAGTAAACACAAAGCATGAGAAAGCCAAATGTGTTTGGGTTGGCTTTGAGGATCGGAGAGGGCTGCCATTGCGGACTGTCCAACTGCTGTTTACGCTTGCAGCGTGGTTGCACTTTCATATTTGCCTTTGCTCAGTGTGCTTTTCTAGTGGTTTTTATGGGTGATTGAGGGTAAGTGAAAGGGCCTTATATGCTGTGAAGAAAGAAGCTGAGTATGAGATGGTGCTACTTGGAAAGGCTATAATCAGCCTTTCATGTATTCGTGTTTACCCAATATTACTTGAAAATGCTGTGTGTATTCTGAATGTGAATTTCACTTTAATCCTTTGTTCTGCATAGGACATTTCTCATTTGGACTCGTTTAAGAGGCTGGTCTGTCTTTAGTACCACAGATACACTTTTCTCTTTTCCTTTGGTGCCGGTGTGGAGCGTCACAGGCGACGTGCAGTGCTAATTTGTGGATAAGGAGGTAGAACTTGTTCTTCCTTGTGAAACTTCTTCTGCCTTGTGAAAGTCCTTTCACACAGCTCCGTATCTGACATGTTTAAGTGATCTAAAATGACAAGGGGAGCTAATGTATTCCATGAAAGGGACATATTGATCTACTGCAGGATGAAGTTTAGTTGGCAGAGGCTGTTAATAAGAAAGCAATAACAGTGATTTCCATGACTTATCTGGAGATCAAAAGAATTATAAATGTATGAGATAAAGGTAAAGCAGAGTGAAAAAATGAAGAAAGTAAGTTTTGCTACTGGATTTGTATAATTAATCTAAAACTAGCACAGGTATTCAGTGTTAATGGAAAATGACTGAGCAGTGTACATCTTGCTGATGAAATTGATCAAATACAGAATTACCATAACCCCTCTAGCAGCTTTCTGATCGACACTTCCACTATATGCTGGCCTTTATAACAGCAGTCCCAGCAGTGGATCAGTGCCAGGACCAAAACAAACTCCTTGTTAATGAGCATGGAGTAAAAAGAACGTAATAGTTCCTGAGACATCTTGACCTTTTAAGATGGCTTAGCCAGATGGCTTTCAGCAGTGATGAAAGGCAGAAATCTTACAGAGGCCCCAAAGACATCTGGATAAAACAAAATTGTTCTGGTTACAGATTGCTGGAAGGAAAATAGTTTGTTTTCATGTATAAGGTATGCATCCTTCCTCTAAAGTGTAGGGTGGTGGCTTTCCTTGTCAGGATTGGATAGTATTTCAGTGTGGGTTTGAAAAGCATACCCAAGCTTCTGCCAGTACATGTCAGTCCTGACTCTCATGCCATTTTTAAAAGTAAATTGCCAATATTGCAAGAAGTCTAAGGTGAGGAGAAAAATGAGTGAGTAACCTGATCACTACAATTCAGGTGTCTGCGGCTGGGTTTACTAACTAGATGGGCTGAGTAAGTAGACTCCTTGTGGAATATACTCTTATTAAATCTGAACCTACAAATTGTAGTGTAGTGTGTGTATGCCATGCATATATTTTACATATACAGTGTATTCTGTGCTTCGAAAGGCCATTACAAATTTGCAGGAGTTAAAAAAGAGAAACAATGTGCTAAATGACTTGGAATCACACATACACAAAGGCTTCTCAATCTCTGTTTGAGAAGGAAACTGAGCATAGGTGTACACTACCCTTCTGGCTTCACTAGTCTTCCTAAACACTGCTTTGAATATTGGCATAAAGTGTTCTTGAAAGCGTAGCTGGGAAAGTCTGAAATATGTCTATTTTGTTTGTTTGTTTGTTTTATGTGCTTATTGCTCTGAAATAATTCCAGCCTCCTGACCACATTCACATCTGAGAAGCAAGAGGCAAATAACTGCTCTGATTTAAATGGGATGTCTTTGTAATCTGATGCCTGCAGAAACGAGCTTCTGTACTCATCAAGCACAAAGCCATTCAAAGGCCTAGCTCATTCCCAATTACCTGTTGAGTACCTTTTGTCCGAGTTCATTTAGTTTACCCATAGGCATAAAAGGAAGATGTAACGCATATGTTCGCATCAATTTCCATTTAATCGCCTATCGCTTATAATGTCTCTGCATTAAATTAGGAGATTTGGAACATGTCCACTTTTGAGGCTGCAGGGAATAGTGCTCTGGTAGAAAGTCTCAAGTACTAGCAGTGCATAACATCTTGGGAGAGTTTCTGTGGCTTACGTGCTGGATGGGAAGGCAGATTGTGGCTGGTCATTGCCTAGTGCAGAAAGTAGGAGACCACAAAAAGCTGTGTGTCTGGGCACAATTGCAACAGTCTGCTTGAACAGAGGTTTGGAAACGTGTGTGTGGTGGGTCAGATTCCGTACACCTTCAAGGAGTTGGAGGGCTGACATGGAAAATGGTTTTATTCCCTCTGTCAGAGGTGCGTCCACATGGGGTTTTTCAGACTGACATGAATTTGCTTGGCCACTGGTCAGCTCAAAGCCAAGCTGATGAGCTCAGAGCAGCTCTGGGATGGTGTTGGAATTTGGGTTGCCAAGCATGCTTAATGATAAGCTGTTCTCAGAGGTCTGGGCTGTTAGCTCAGTTAGATGAGCTCATCTTTGCCTTACGAAGATAGTGTAGACACACCAAGTTCCAGGAGACACTGCGTTTTCCTGTCATCTTAGCCAGAGACGTGTGGTCCCTCCCCATTCTAATTGTAACTGCCTGAGACTGTGCTCAGATACTTACTCAGAATGAGCTCTTGATGTTTTTTTTTAATGTGTGTGAGAGCCTAAATGCCCTCCAGTCCTCCAAATGAGCTCTGACAGGTCCTTTGATATGTTTGGGATCAGAAGTTGCTTTTCTTCTGGAGAAGATGGGACTTGGAAAGACCATCTGGTTGTGAGGGTCAAAGTCCAAAGAGGACACAATCTCATGCTGGCACATGAGTGGGCTGGAGACACATTACGAGACCTCTCTTCTTTTTGGTTTCATCTGTAGGAATGCATGGTAATATTTTAATCGCAACAAATTACCCTCTAAGGATTGTTCTGAGTAGAGCAGCTGTCAGTAATTACACAATGAATCCAGGGCACTGTCTACTGGATCCAGCAAGTCTGGTCTTTAAAACAAATATACTTCTGGGCACTGGAGCCAGCAAAGCTTGCTTTCCTATTTGCCTTTGTATCATGTTTGAGCTCTCGTTTGGCTTACAGTGATACTCAGTGAGGACTGTTCTCAACCAGTGTTCTTCCCTCAGTGGGAACATAAAGAGGATCAGTCACTGCTAACCTGATGCCTGTTTTGGTGGGGGTGATGTTAGCTTAAAAGCTCCGTGACTTTGCCACTTCTGTTGGAATTGCCTGGATCCATTGGCAGACTCAGCAGTTATTCTGGAAGTACATGGGGAATGGGACACCCCTTGATTAAGAGGTTGGGTCAAAAATCTCCAGCTGTGTTGGTAGTGGAGGGCAGGAGCACATCCGCTGTTGGAATTGCCCTTGATGGCAAAGCGTGGAAATGTCCTGATAGTAAGGGAAATGGATGGAAAACGGTGGTGAACTACATCATAGCACTGACTGCATGTAGGAATTCTTGCAGATCCCAGAAGCAGGTGTCATGAGGAAGTCCTGGGATCTCCATCCTTGGTGGTGGGTTTTGTTTTGTTTTCTTTTTTAAGTAGATCTAAAAAACAGCTGTCAATAATATATTGTATTTTAGGGTTCTAAATGGGTTCTAGATGGGTTCTTCCAGGTGTGTTTTCTGTTGATCTACGCAAAACATCTCCTAAGCAGCATGGCATCAAGCAGGAAGAACAATAGATCTTTTAGTGCCCTGCATTTCCATGGCAGGGATACATCTTGGGAAGCTTGCTTTTAGGTTAGGGCATATCGCTGAAATCTGCTGGCTTCACACAGACAGGCCAGACACCAGGGGTGAGCTGGAATCTAGTCTTTCTCCACTAACTGCTGTTGGTTAAGTTTCCTGATCTAATAAACTTGAGATGATGAATTGACATGTTCTTTTCTCTCCCCACACCCTGAAGACTTGGGATGATGAGCTGGAAAGGTCAGCACATGCTTGGGCTCAGCAGTGCATCTGGGACCATGGGCCTAGTGCTCTCATCAGGTCAATTGGACAGAACCTGGCGGTCCACTGGGGCAGGTAAGATTTGGGGTGCTACAAGCTCACTGCAAAGAGCAGTTTAAGGATCCTCCTTTAACTTAGTTGGAAAGGTTTGCCTTGTTGATGCTTCGTAGAGCACTGGGGAGTCAAGAGAAAAGCTGAGGATCATTAATTGCTATTGCTTTGGACAAATGGCTGTAGCAGTAACATCTGCAGCCACCATCAGCAAACCAACATTGATGTGAGTTACTCTCTTTATTTCTGTCTCTGGGAATGCAGCAGTAATGTGCTCAAAGTGACTCTGACTCCTTAAGAAGAACAGCCATCTAAGTCATAACCCTTGCTCCTATATCTGCTGTTTCAGACCTCAGGGTTGAGGAGGGGGTCTGGCACCATACTGAGAACCTGCTCAAAGCTGAAGTTTCTTAGGAACGATGTCTGAACTCAGCGGCTAGTTCAGAACTTAGTTATGTCTTGTTCTATTTCCCATAAATGACCCAGCTCCTAATTTCTCTTATCTGAAAACACTTTGGAGGTTTTTCTTTTTTTTTTTTTTTAAACTTCCAGGGGAAGGTTTTTAACCTGGAGTTGTTAAACTAACTAGGAAAGCTGACATTACAGCTTCCAAGTGGATTCGGCTCTCCAGATAATGGTGAAATCTCTTTATTGTGAAGCCCCAACTGCTAAGCCTGCTATAGGTTAATCCCGCTTTGTACAGCAAACATTTTTGTACGTGCTCAGGAGCCCTGGTGGGTGGAAATGCAGTTATGTTTGTTGGAAATCAGGTGTAGAACTTGGTTAAAAGCAGTGGAAATTTGCTGGTGTGAAATTAGCCCAATACAAAAATCGGGCCCGTTTTTGTTGGCTGAATTAAGTAATGATTGGAAAGCAGAGTGGTTAATCCATTGAAACAGAGTCAAAGATCGTGCTGTCCTTGGCTCTCCTACAAGCGTTCAAGATGGCCATGGGTTACTGATGGAGGTAGATCCAATCTTGCTCCCTTTGCAGTCAACTGAGAGGAAAAAGAAATCAGATTTATCTCACTTTTTTCAGGAACGGGCCATAACTTGATTGCCTCAATTTCCTCTCCTGTAAAATAGGATTCGGAAAGTATTCACTTAATGACATCATGAGATGAATGTTTTTAAAATACTTCTAATGAATGATTTTTAATGAAGAGTTGGCTGAAAGAACAAGCTCCAGTTGGTAATGATATCATTTGTATTTCTGGCTGCTTGCTCCATGTGAGCTGTTGAAAGCAATAAAAAGACATGGGTTTGAAGCCCTGCTCTGCTTTGATACGGAGTCTGCAGATCATTCTGCTCACTGCATATACAAAACACGTATGAGTTTCTATAGGTAGTTTTAACACCATTTGTGTTACCCCAAACAACACAAGAAGCACCAGTGCTGCTAGAGGCTGTAGTATGTAGTGTGTAGTTTGCACAAAGTACATGCAGCATGTGCTGGGGCTTGGTATAAGGTCAAATTGTTGCAAAAAAAGTTGGGATACATGTGTAGTGCACCAACTCTTGGTGTGATGTGAGTGTAAAGCCCACTTGCTTTCAGAGGTCTTTCAGTGTTAACTGCCAGCCTACTTCCAGATTTAGCAAATTGCCCGGTGGTAAAATAGGTACATGCTGGCTTTTGGTTTAAGATGTTTGGCAAACCTTTACTTCTGTTTACTTTCAAAATACAACTTTTTGCCAAACTAGAAGCTTTTCGTAGTTGTGTGGAAGAGTGAGGAGGACATTTCAGGTCACTTGAAGAGCATGTCAAACCTATAAATAATACAGAAAGTCAGGCCAGGCTGTGAATCTGAGGGGAAAAAAAATCAGCTTTAACATTTTTCAATGAGATTTTTTTATCCCTGTTCATTAGACCATGTTACTGGGTTCTTTAAGCAGCTTCTCAATGAATGGAACTTACTTTAATATAAAAATTAGCTAATTGTATAAGAAAAATCCTGAGCCTACAATATGGCTTCATGTATCGTTTGAAAACTTGAACCAGAACTTCATGATTTGAACTGTCTTTGCTCCTCCAGGTATCGGTCTCCAGCTTTCCATGTGCAGTCTTGGTATGATGAAGTTAAAGATTACACATACCCGTATCCTCACGAGTGCAACCCGTGGTGCCCAGACAAATGTACTGGTGCTATGTGCACACATTACACCCAGGTAAAGGAGACAAATGTCTTTTGTACCTCTATTTTCTGCATCCTCCCCATGTCCCAGGTGTAACATGTGCCCACAGTGGGATAGTCTGCTTATGTCCTATAACTGCGTTGCACTTGCAGATAGTCTGGGCCACGACGAACAAGATTGGCTGTGCTGTGAACGTCTGCAAGCAGATGAATGTTTGGGGAGAGATATGGGAGAACGCCGTCTACCTGGTCTGCAACTACTCGCCGAAGTAAGGCAGATGAGCTGGGCTCTCTCCAGCTTTCCTAAAACTGGCAGGTTGCTTAACTAGCCCAGGGTCTGGGGAAGAGATTTCAGGCAGTCTAGACTGGTGGTTGTGGCTTTAAATTTTCTCTTTAGACGGCAGCACAGGGCTGCTTCAAGCTTTCTGAGCACTGCCTGGAAAACTGAATGAGGGGCTGGGGCCAGGCTGGAGCTTTGATGTTCCTGCCATGGGAAGGAGGAGCAGGAGATGGCCAGGATGGAGCTGGTGTGTGCTGCCAAGCGAGGCTTGCTCTCTCTGCTGCTGGAGGCTGGGAGGGGATGGGGTGGTGATTAACACTGCTGTAGCAGCAGCCTCTGTACCCAGCCAGGTAGGTTGCTGTATCATAACACATTTTTCCACTTCCCCCTGCAAAATTCCTGGTTTAAACATACCACCGCTCTCTGCAAAGCCAGCCCTGCAGTAGTCACTGGTGGAATATGGGGGCCACTGCAAGGAGCTGCAATGAGTTAAATCACAGATCCAATAAGCTCCCTGTAGCTTAAAAGAATAATAATAATAAAAAAAAGAAATAGGAAAAAAAGTGAAATAACTGCATCAGTCAGGATTTATCTAGCTCGATGGTTTGGTTAGATTTCAAAACGAAAATCACAGTTCCTGACTACTACATCCAGAAGTGTCCTATCTGTCAATGGCAATTAATATTTTCTGCTTTAATGGCTAATAGGAGAAACATTCCCACTCCAAGTCCTTGGCAATTTAAAAAATGAAATAGGGAAATCACTATACTTGGAGAGCATCTTACTTCTAGAGATAACAGTGAAGAGAAAAAAGGTGTGTAGGTATGGAGATGGCAGCTCATAGTGTGATCCAGGCAGAGATCTCTGCTTGGGTGTCCCCACGTCAGATACTGAGCACATTATTCGTCTGGTTTGGTGGGATTTAATAACTCGCAACTTGTAAGGGATGACACCATCTCCCATGGATCTCCTGCAGCAGGCTGGGCTATTTGCACGTCATCCATTTAGGGATGCTGGATGGAAAAATACTCTATTTCTGCAGCTTCCTCTTAATCTTTTCTCTCTGGCATTGGTGAGCATTGTCCTCATCTAGCCTTATATGTGAAGACAGCTAAAAGAGCAATAACCCAAGGGTTCATAGCCATGGGCTGAACCCTGTCTTCTTCATCTTTCTCAGCCCCTAAGGTCTGCAGTACAGAGCACCAAAAAGGGTTTCTGTTTCTGGGTAGTTTCTTGAGGAAAATGCAGTAACACCTTGATATACCTCTGTTCACGTAAGATAACAGTATTTATATTGGAGTTTAATGTAAAAGTGATACTGCACGCAATTTATTTAAGTAACCAACCCCTAAGAATGTTATCTTGGATGTGAAATGAGGAGGAACATTTTTCTTACAGGGCTTTCTGGGGCTGGTTGTTTAATTTTTGCTTAGTTGCTCTGGGCCAGGATGATGTTACTGTACCCTCAGAGGGAAAACTGGAGACTTGAGGATGGCCAGATTCGGCGAGGAGAGAGTGCAAAGTGCTTCTCTGTTTCCCAGATGATCTGGTGTGAGGATCCATGTATTTTTGGTGGTTTTCTCTTGGAAATGGTTCCAGATAGAAAGTAAAACAGCTTTTAAATGGTATGAGCTGTGGTCCAGCCTGTCCCATGAAGCTGCCTGGGGGTGTTACAGAAAATAGTGGGGGGCTTGTGGCTCTGATGAGCAAGAGAAGACAAGTGTCATGCAAATGGGAGGCAGCAGGCATGCTGCTCCAGCACGGCTGAGCTATTGCTGGAGAACAACAGGCAATGCGGGGTGGGAAGAATGGGGACAGGCTGTCTTTTCCCCATTTACAGCCCCCTAACCAAGGATGAGCACACGAGAAACACCCATTTTCCCTACTCCTTTAGTGCCAGGCAGTCTCAGAGGCTTGGCTGGGTATTTGCGTGTCTGATGGGTACGCATTGCTCCTGTGCTTCCAGGGGCAACTGGATCGGAGAAGCCCCATACAAGACCGGCCGCCCCTGCTCCGAGTGCCCACCGAGCTATGGAGGAGGCTGTCAAAACAACCTCTGCTACAAAGGTATGTGCTGGGGAGCTTGGGGGAAAAGTTTGGAGCAAACTTAGGTCTGGAAACTTGTAATCAGAAGCAGCCGCAGCTTTGTGCGCCTTTTAATTAGCCATCCTTAATATTTCAACATCACGACACGTGGTGCTGCCGAAACCAAAAAGCACTGAACTGCTTAAAATCTGGAGCTGGGATTCGGTGCGTTTTTCCTGTGAAAATGAGAGCGCGGGCTTGGATGGGGGAAGCTGCTCTGAGCTTACATGGGTTTGGCTGGGGAGCTCCGGCGGGATTTTGAGTGCTGGCAGGCTGCGGGTAGGAGTGATCCCGTCCTCGCAGGGTTTGTTTGGGAAGGGAATGTTCTCCAGTGCTTACCAGAGGCGATGTGGGTGGGCAGAGCTTGGCTGCCTCCCCTGCTCCTTCGGGGGCCAGGGACAGAGCGTTTTCCCTCTCTCCCCACCTTGGTTTTCATGGTTGTAAAATGAATACAGCGATTCCTGTCTCTTGGAGGAGAGGAGAGGATCCGGGACGGTTTTTCCTGACCTGTGGAGTTTTCTTGGAGTAGAGGTCAATAGAGTGAAATATATTAACTCTGAAGCTTCCAGTGAAGCAGTGCTATTCCCCTAGCACACAGGATTTCCTGGGGTCATGCACTGAGGGCAATTTTCTCCTTCCATGTCTTTTGCTTCAAAGATAGCTGGGCTCTGGAAGCAGGCAGGGTCCCCATAGACCTGCCTAAAGCAAAGGCTTATTTTTCTGCTAAATTGCCTTTATTCTTAGCCTTTGGGGTTTGGAGGGAGGACCCCAGGGTGCAGGTAGGCTGCAGAGGGGAGAGGATGCCCTGATGATACAGCAAGAGGCAGAAGCTCTCTTGGAGCCACCACCCATCATCCCTCCATTTGAATCATTCCTCTCCATTGCTGTGAATGGTTCATGGTTTTGGGTAGGACTGGCCAAGAAGAATGATTTTTGCTGGCACTGTTTCCCAAATCCCTCTGCCTGGCTGCAACAGCAGCAGCTTGTTCTCTGGTGGAGGTGAAGTGAGGGATAAGTCCACTGCAGGCACTAAAGCTGGGATCACACTGTGATAGGACCTGTGCTTTACTGGAGGGTTGGCTGAAGCCATGCTTAGGGGAGCTTTGGAGAAGCAAACCCAGGTGGGAGGATAAAAGGCTTCAGTCACCTTCCTAAATACTAGAGCCTCTTTTTGCATGCACCCTTCAACAAATTTCCCTCCAGAGAGAAGGAGCTGTACGGGAAAGATAAAAAGAAACAACAGCACTTTTTTTCACTGGATCATTTCAAACCCTTACTGTAAGATGCTATAAATGCTGCTTCATGTGCAGAGAAGCAGGAAAGGAGCAATCTCCTCCCTTGGTGCTGCACCTGCCCTGTCAATAGCCCCATGCTGCAGTTAACTGGCATTTTTGAGATTCCAATTATTGAAAAGCAAATCCTCATTAAACCAAATCATCTCCCTCAAAATAAGAATGTGTTAGACTTCCCATCGATGCAAACACACTGTGACTTTCACTCTAAACCCCTCTTCTCACCAGATTACCGTTATGAAGATCCCGTCATCACCGAGGCGGATGAGACAAACGAAGTGGAGATTTCACAGGTTGCGGAGCAGAAGCCGGTGCGGTTCAACCTTCCAGAAGGCAAGACCCACAAACCCACCAAGCCCAAGAAAGTCATCCCAGAGTCCTACATGAGTAAGACAGCCTCTGTTTTCATCAGCTCCTATAAGTCTTAAAGGACTGCTGTGGGAAAAGGCGCAGAAAGTCATGAGGACTTTGGGCAACATGGTGTAGTGTGAAGTGTCCCTTCCCATGGCAGGGGGTTGGAACTAGAGGATCTTAAGGTCCTTTCCAACCCTAACTATTCTATGAGGAGGCTTAGGTAAAATTAACTGGGAGGATGTTTGAGTGGAGGGGGAGGAAATCTATGTGAAAATTCACTATGCATTACAAAAGAAGCCTGCCAAAAATTGGAAGCAGTGCTTTCAAAAGCCACTTGTGCCTTCTACATATAGACTGCATGAGTTATTTGTTCTGTTAAGCCATCTCAAGGAAGTATCAATGAACCAAAATTTCTCCTATCCATAATCAATTCAAGACATACTGGTTTTATTTCCCATTTACAACACTTCACACTCTGCACCTACCCCCCTTGCAGCTTTTCTGGGTTTTTTAGTTTGTTTCCTTTTTATTTCTTGGGAAGATTTCTGAAGTTATGTGTGGATCTGATAGTACTTCCTCAGTTGTTTTCTACCTGCTATTAATTAAAAGAGGCTTATTGTGAAAACAAGGTGAGGCAAGCCAGTGCATCCTTTTCAAGTCTATCTTCCGGCATCTCAAGAGTCTGTAATTAAATAGAGAGTATGAGAGCTCTGGCTTGCAGACCTCAGGCTGTAAATCAAAGCCTTCAGCTTTCAGGTGTTTCTTCCTTGTTAATATTTCCAAAGACACCTGTCTCAGGTGAAGGGCTAAAGAGGTATGAAATGCTCCAGGCTGGGTTCTTTTGTGCTAAGGATTTACCATGCTGCACCAAAGACCTCCAGGAAAGATTCATGGTGGTTGCTCATCTCCATAGCTCGAGAGCAGCCTCTTTGCTTTCTAAAATGCTTATTTATTTTATGTTTTCTCCTCAGCACAAGTCATAACATGTGAAACCAAGATGAGAGACAAATGCAGAGGATCAACATGCAACAGGTAGGGATTTACTGATACCTCTTGGAATGCTATGGGAAAAAGCAGCTTAAAAATTGCCCAGTTTTTGTAAACACAGAATATGTAAATTTTTGTGAGTAGCTAGGTAGGTCTCCTAAAAAATACAGCCTTCAGCCAACCCTAGCAATAATGTGACTCGGTTTTTTATTCAGCCACGGTGACCCACAGTTCCAGGTATCCAAAATCATTTAATAAATTTTGGCAGCGTCCCTTTTTGAGCGTTTTTCTTGCATTCCACTGCTGCCCAAGCCAGATTCCCCCCCCCCAGCCAGTCAAGAACTTCTGGTTAAGGTTTCTGCAAAGAACAGGACAGTTTATCACTTGGAGAAAACCCAAATCCACAGAATCTAAATATTGGTCGGGATTTTAAGGAGGGTGGAGAAACTGTTTTAAAAAGTAGCTATTTTGCAACCTTGTTTTTAAATGGAAAAGTTACGTGAAATGAATGGAATGACTATTAAATGAAATAGAGTCAAAGTCTGTTTTTCTTGAATTGTTTTTTCGCCACCCTCAAAGATATATATCTTTACTAGGTATTTGTGCCCAGCTGGCTGCTTGTACAGTAAGGGAAAGATCTTTGGAACATTTTATTATGAAAGTGTAAGTACCTTTTAATAGTTCATAGATGTAATTTGTGAGGAGTTAGTGGGAATAGCAGAAATGGGAAATGCCAACAATTCTAGTGTAATTTGGCTTTTCATATTCTCCAATTGTGGTGCTCTATGTGGTGCTAATAACAATTATCTGTGTTTTCCTCATCTTAGCGATGAAAAAAAGAGGCAGTCTGGAAAGGCAAAGTGATTCCAGACGTGATTTTATGCCCTTAATTTGCAATGAAACCCACGGAAAGTGAGGGATGGGGATCAATAGACAGCTCTTACAAAGATCTCTTCTTCAGTGTGGGCAACTGTCATGCTGAACAGAAACTTTATATGAAAAACACCACTAAATGTTGTAACTAAATAATATTTTGGTCAGATTTCTTGGATCTTGAATTAGCAGGATAATTTATAAATAAAGCATGGCACTGTTTTCCCATCAAAACTACTTTTGGGGTGAAGGAAGGTTGAAGATAAAAGGGGGTTTGTGTAAAAGCATGTTTGTTTTCCCCATTCTCGCTGTTGGTGCATGACTGCATCGTCCATGATACATCTTTGCCCTGAAACTTCTGTGATTACAGACAGCCACCTCATCCAAGTGGTTTCAGCATAAATATTTTGGGTTTGAATATTTTCTTGAGAGCTGGAAATATTTCATACTGGTCACTTGTTTCCAATGCTGCTTTTCTTCTAAATTGTATCTAAATGTCAGGTTTTGTTATTCAAAAAAAGCTTGCTATTCAACCAGGCAGTGCTTAAAATAATAGTAATAATAAAAAAAGAATAAGGCTGTGTTGGGAGAGTAAGATTTAACAACCAGATTCCAAAGGGGTGTACTCAGCTTGTATTCCATTTGGCACTTTGGTGGTGGTTTCATTTCTTCTTCATTTTTTTTCTGCACAGCGGTTGGTCAGTGTTTCTCTGTGAATGAGATTTATTTCACATACTATTTGTGTTTGTGCTCTTGTCAGTCATCAAGCATCTGTCGCGCTGCAATTCATTACGGCATCCTGGATAATAAAGGAGGATTGGTTGATATCACGAGGAAGGGGAGGACACCAGCTTTTGTGAAGTCTACCCGGAATGGCGTGGAGTCATTTAGGTACTACCTTCATGAAGAAGTTTTTATATTTGCTTTAAATATAAGCAGATGTTCAGTTGTCCTTTTTACTCAAATGTAGACACAGTGATTTGAGTAATTCTGGTGAGCTTATGTTTTTAATAAATGTTTGCTTGCTTTTCAGGAAAAACAAGCCTTCGAATGCATTCATGGTTTCCAAAGTCACAAGTAAGTTTTAACAGCTGATAACAAACCCTTGTTGCTAGAGTTTTAGGGGATGCTTCAAAACATTATTCCTTATAGTGCTCTTTTTCGTTTTAAGTGGCCATGTCAAATGATTCAGTACCAAAACTGAACCCTAGAATGGTGATCCATCACATACTATGGCCAATTCCACCATCAACCACCTCATTTTTCTGTAGGGATCTCAGACAAAAGTACAGATAAAGGTGTTAACAGGTCATTTCCAGCAGCATGTCCTGGTGATGGATCACAATCAGTCCAAACATCAGCTGCAGTGTCACAAGCTGCTGATAGTAAAGTGGTGGAAGATGTTCCATCCTTGTGTGAAAGCTTCAGCCTAGTGTGAACACTAAAAAAACTTTAAAAGATAGTGCCTAATCTAACAGTGCAGTAGTATAATGAAACACATAATACATATGTAGCTTGTTTATAACAGCAAGTTATCGTATCTGTTATGAACATATAAACAAATACTGTGGAGTTCCACTTTTTAAATAATTCCCACTTTCTGAATATCTTTGAATAATGCCTTTTCCTCCAATATATAAACATAACTTTGATTAGATCCGCTTGAGCTACTTTCGGGGAAAACCGTAGGTGTCAGGTTATTTGGACTCCACGTCTGGAGCTGTAGCAAAAATACACCATGCTGTGAATCAGCTGCTTTTCCCTTTTGAAAGCTGTGGCCTTTTTAAGGTCACATTGTAGTATGGTAGTAGGATTTCTGCTGGAGACCTGGTCAGCCCTCTCCTGGATGCATGCTGCTGGTAGAGGAGTAAGCAGCTTTCCTCTTGGTGCCCTCAGCTGGACGTGGGTCTCACCAGATGTGTTGCGTGACTGGCTTGTGTTTTCTGCAGATGTCTGAGCTACTTATTAGGTCCAGTGATTTGCCTTTCCATATTTATCCCTGCAGCACAGACACTGGATTGCTATACTACCGTAGCTGAGCTGTGCCAGTTCAAAAAGCCGGCGACCCATTGCCCAAGGTAACACAAGGCCATTTATGTTCTGCTTAACACCCTCTGCGCCTAGGAGGGACAGCTTAATGAAGGATGCTGAGGTCCCCAAATCTGAGGGCTAGTGGGCATGGAGCAGATTTTACCATGAACTGGAGGAGTAGGTTAGGAATGGGTGTTTCCTCCTGCCACTGTGTCTTTCATATTAATTTTCAGACTGCTTCATTAACATGTAACTCAGGCTATGAGATCTCATTTCAGCACACATCTCTGTATAAGCATGGGATTTAGCACCCTGTCTTTGCTCTCTACCACTTCCTGGTGTTTGGATTTTGTTTTCCTTTCTGTCTTAGAATATGGAAGATGTTTGTTCTAGAAAGCTGCTTTGTGCAGGTATAAATGGTGAGCACAAACACATGCAAATAATTACATGCACATCATTGTGCAAAAAGGTAAGTACTCCCCATTGAAAACGTCATAAAAGACGGATCCCTCTTTACTGGTCTAAACCCCTCTATTTGCCGTTCTGCAGTAACTACCAAATGTCATCTCAGGGGAACGAATAATTAAATTCACTGTTGCCACCTGCAGACCAGATGTGGGCACTTGAAACCTCCCAAGAATGCAGCTTGCTTTCCTGTTGAGCCTTGATATAGAGAATAAATATGAATAAATTGTTTTCTAGGATTTATTGCCCAGCCCACTGTAAGGACGAGCCATCATACTGGGCACCGGTGTTTGGCACAAACGTTTATGCAGATGTGAGTATGCTCCTTGCCCTGATGCCCCCAGGTATCGTGATGTATTGTAGATCCAGGGTCACACTCTGTGATTTAGGGGAGAGAGTCAAACCCTCCATGGTCATTGAAATGTGGGGATGAAGGAGGAAGTAGCACTAAAAGCTACACCACCCGGCTGAGGTCAATGGGCTTGGGCAGCCCTACTGCTCTTCAATACTGACTTACTCTTAAGGACTTGGGCAAGTCACTTAACTGCTTCGTGCCTTATGGGCTATGGCTATGAAGCCAAGGTAGTGCTTGTCTGTCTTCGTAAAGTGTTTTGGGATCTACAGATGAGTGCTAAAAGGCTTTTATTATACACTGCCACACTATATTAGTTGGCAAAAATAGGCCTCCCTACCCCTCCCTTGTCCTTCTCTTTCTGGAAGCTGAACAGCGTTTTTGAGCAGTGGGGACACAGCACAGATCAGTGGAAAGAAAGCATGCAAGTTGGTTTTATTGGTTTGTTTTTCTAAACTCTGCTCATGGGGATGAGCAGAGACTTGATGCTAAAACTGGGCAAAGAGTTATTTTTTTGAAATCTCTTAATATTAGGCCTCTAAAACCTGGGGTTTGACATTTTTCCACTTGCGGGTGCCTCTTTTTACTTTGGTTTTCCTTTTTTTTTTTGTTTCTTTTTTCACTGGAGATTGTGTTTAGAAATTCCAGCTCCCAGGCTGGTGCGTAGCATGTAGGAACGTGCTTTTTGAAGGCCTGGGGGAAGCAATTGGCAGAATGGGGACCCCCAGCTTGGAGTAACTGTGGAGCTTTGCAGACTCATGAAAAAGAAGCATCCTTCAGAAATTAGACAATAGTTTGGGGCAAGCAATTTTGACAGCGATTTAAAAAACAAAACTAAGCTATTTCCTATTTCACTTGAGACCGATTTCTTTAAAGGTAGAGCTGCACAAACAGGTTAGCCTGGACTAGCTCACATGCAAATTCATCAGGCAGCTGCCACCCCGCGGTACTTGCCTCTCTGCATGCTCCGACATGCAGGAAATGGGAAATAGCTTTCTCTTTTTTACTGAGGACAAAACTACCTCAGATTACCCCCAAAAGAACAGGGCCCGTGATTACAAAGGTATTAGGACCAGTATCCCAGGCTGGCATTGTTTCCTGATTTGTACTGACGCAAAAGGATTAGCGTCCTGTAATGAATCGCAAGCTCCTATCATACCCCCTGGGTATTGTTTTATAAATGGGGGCATGGACTGTGATTTGGCAGAAAAGTAAAATAGAAAATGAAAAAGTATTTGGCCATTTTTCTAGAAGGTTTTGTTAACCTTTTCTGGACTGCTCTATTAATGGAGTGATGTGGGTGTAATAAGGAAAGTGTTTAGGTTTTTATGAGAGTGAAAGGTTGGTAGAAAAGCAGGTTAAACCAGCTGGGAAAAAAATGAGTTTGAAGTGGCTGCAAAACAGGCTACAAAGGGAGAGGTATTGATGCTGAGAAATGCCCAGGCTGGAAAGCTGAGAGAAACATGCACGATGAGCAGGGAGAATTTGGGCAAAGGCTTTTCCCAGGAAGCACGGGCTGTGCAGGATGCTCTCCAGGAGGGGATGCTGTGAATTAACCTGAGCCTGCAGCAGAGGAATGATTAAAACAGGCAATAAACTGGGTGGGAAAAGTGCTAGTCTTCTGGGAGGCCTCTTTGGCCTCATGTATAGAGTGGCACCTTCATGGCTCTGGAGGGACTTGTGCTCAGACTGTGCCTTCTTAAATAAGTTATCTAGCAGAAAATATGAAGTATTTTGCCTCATTTCCTGCCTGCACTCCCTGCAAGGTGCCCTCTGGCCTTTTAGCACCTTTTCTAAAACGTTGACTTTCTAAATGCTCCTGATAGTCCAAGCTGTGATGACAAAATGCTTTGTCAGTCTGTGTAATTACATGATTCACTCCACTTTTGGCCTGAGGTAGCATTCACATCTAAGTGATCCCAGGAAGGCATGTGAAAGTTTGTTTTGCCATGAAGAACAAAGCAGTGACATGAAGAATAGGCAGTTTTTGTGGTATAATTCTAATTTTTATTCAAGGGGGCATAGAAGCCAGTATCTTGGTTAGTGTTAAGGGATTTTTACCCATTTTAAATGCATTCTGATCAGGTTTCTTTTACTCATAGTTATAAAATTATATTGGATAGTGTGTTTATAAGATTATCTCCTGGGTACCGTGGTGGCTTAAGGCACAAAGAGATATTGGAAAGCAGTGCAGGAAACTCTTCATGGTGAAACTAGTAAGACTGGAACAGGGACATAAAGGAGCCTTAAATCTGGGGGTAAATGAACAAAGTGCAAGGAAATATGCTATGGGAAATGCTGATACCCAAATCCCAGGTCTTTCCATTGAATGGCATTACACCTCTTTGAGAACAAAATTGCTGCCTGCACACAGGGTTTGCAGATTGAAGCAGTACGAGGGGAACATAATCAGGATCCTCACAATGCTGACACTAGTAGTGAGAAGCAGCTGGCTGGGGAATAGAAAATTTGTTGCATCTTTTCCCTGATGGAACATTGCAGCAAAGCTCTTTACACTGCCGTGTAAATGGCAGGGGGGAAATAAAACCCCTTAATAATCTATAAACATGTGATTTTGCCTAGGAAATAAAACTTGGCTCTTGCTAATGTGGACGGGACCAGTTCTGGGGTGATGCTGGAACTGTGTCTTGCTAAATGGGTCTTTATCAAGACTGTAAAAGATCTTTTAAGTTTCACAAGACACTGTTAGTTGGTACTCTGCCTGGCTCCTTGTGTGCCATAAGACTGTAAGGGAAACCCATCCCCATTTGCTGCTCTGGAGCCCTATGGAGCCAGGAGAGAAAACAACTCTCTGCTCTCGAGATAAGGTCTTTCATCCACAGTTGTGCAGCAATTAGTTGGAGGAGGATAGATCACCTACATAATGAGGCAGGCGTTTATCACCAGAGCAAACCAAGCTGGGTGGCTCAGCTCTCAGGAGATATGGAACTTAATGATTAAACCAGTCACACTAATGAGGAAATTACGGGTGATTAAACTCATAATCTACTCATACTGTTAATGGCCCACTATAAAAACTATTGCCATTTTATGGGGTATACCTCAGAGGCTACTTCATCAGGAAATGCTCCCAGAGCATCCCAAGGGGCTACGACACAGAAAGCTGTTGCATTGTCCATACAGCTGCTGTACTTCTGAATTTGAGGTGAAGGCCTTATTCTTGTAATATCTCATGTTCCAAAAGCTCTGCAATCAGTTCATCAAAGAGTGTTCAGATCCGGGATATGAGAGGGCTGTAATCCAACAGAGTGATAAGAGAAGGTTTGGGGAAAAGCAATAAAAAGCCTGTGGTCAAAGCTTTGAGTAAGCAGCAGAACAGCAAGTCCTGGAAATAAAGAGGAATGCCTTGAAAAGAACATTGTTTAGGATGTCTCCCAGCGGAGAGTGTTGCGAATTGATTCAGGACAGTTTAATTTTATGAGCCTATTTTAGATTTACAGATTTCCCACCACTTACTAGGGCAAATTCAAAGCATATCTTCCAAACACAGTGTTCCCTTGCTCCCGTGACCATATATAGAAGCAAAATACCAAATTGGCACTCAAAACTCAGAGACTTGCCAAGAGATAGGCCATTCAAAATGATAAATATATAGGGGACAAGGCAAACCTGCCATATATGGCTGTGAGAATGAAACAGCACAATCCGTATTGTACCTACGCAACGGGAATGTTTGCCCTTGGCACTGGTTTTGTGGTACTTTGATTTTTAGCAATCAGGGGGTTTATGGGGTTGGGATTTTCACCTGCTGCAGTTCCCCATGCAAATCTGGGGTTTTCTTTTTGTTATTCCAGCTTGCTGTATGTAAATCTTCTAGAGAGTTAATGGCCAAGTTTATATTACGTCTCAGCCTTCTCTGCTTTTGCTCCCTTTTTGCAGATGCTTTGGGAGCTTAGTCATCACTTGTTAGTAGTTTGTGTTCCTCCAGCTCTTCTGACTCTGCATATCTTGGAAAGCAGAGTAATTGCATGATGTACAACAGAGAGGCTTTAGTCTTTTCAGAAGTGTTATTCTGCCTTCATACTTGATGGTGTCTTACGGGGTAATGCCTGTCCAAAAAACACTCAATGAGTACAGCCCTTCTGTTTTTCCTAGAAAGAAGGATGTGAACTGTCCTGGATAATTGGTGGTCATTTACCTCAGTTCAGGAAAAGCATCTGCTTTACAAGCAATTGGGTGAATAAACGTTGCTGAACTGGCTTGTCCCTGACAAAGACTTTCACCACAGAGGTTTCTCTAGCTCAGACTCAGGAGGCACTGGCTGGAGAGTTGTCATCGATTCAGCTTTGGCCTTGGATAACCTCCCAGGTGCAGCTCTAGCACAGATGGGAATGGTGGAAAGGCTGCTTGTATTCTGCAGTGGTGTGCGATCTTGCAAACATATGACTTATGACATATATGCTTGTACCTCCATGCTTATGGAGAAGGTAAAACAGATAGGAAATACAGACTGTTAGTGAAAATATAACTAATTATTTTTCAGAGCTCCAGTATCTGCAAAACTGCCGTGCATGCAGGAGTCATTCCAGATGAAAGAGGTGGTTTTGTGGATGTGATGCCTGTAGAAAAGAAGAAAAGTTATGTTGCCTCCCTAAAGAATGGAGTCCAGTCTGAGAGGTGGGATTTTTTTCCTTTGTACTTTCCTCCTGTTCTCAGCTGTATGTTAAGTTGTAAGTCAAAGTCAGCAGATATCAGCTAGAAAGGCTGGTGGATTAGAAGTACATGACTTAATAGTGTCACTGTGAATTTTAAGACCCAAACAAGTAGAGCGTGCTGTCCTGCTCTTACCTTCCACAAGTGAGGAGCTGCTTTCACATTGGTGTGAAATGTATGAAATGTTGTTAAGCTTTGGTTTATTTTACTATAGTATGAGTCCATATTAACACATTTTGGGGTGTGTGTTTAACATGTTAAAAGATAAATGTGGGTATTTCTGCAGCTTTCAGCCTGGGTCATGCTTTGACCCTTCTATTTGGGATTTCCAGTCAAATTTAGGGTGTGGGATGCATTTGTATTTGTTAAGTAATTTCCTTTATTCTCTTTGAAAGAAGCATAGGTAAATTAACCTCTTAAGAGATGATTAAACACTTTTTGAAGATGGATTTGCCACTCTTGTAATTTTTTTGTATTTTCTTTTGGGCCAGCCTTGCTCTTTTCAGTGAACAGTTGCAAATCAGTGCTTCCATAACCCTGCAACTCCAGATGGTCACAATGATTAAGTTGCAGATCATTCAGTCCTTTCTAATTTGAAACTTCAATTTCAGTCTGTGATGTATTTTATCAGACGTTGGTGTGATGGTACTGATTTCTCAGGGCTATCTTTACAAACATAGAATTTTCCACTATTTTGGGGGTGTTTGGTCACTACTAACACAGCGCTCCCTGTTCAGTGTAGTTCCTCTTTTATAATCACTGTAAGAAAACCAAACGAGTTTGCTGGTTTTGTTCTAATGACAGATAATCCAGAATGCTGCAGAGCATCTCAGAAAATAAAAATAGACTAAGACAGGAGAGCTATAGGTGTTAAATATGAGCTGCTTTAGTGCAGATCTATCCGGGTCAGTGTTTTGCAGTTCTGTGATTTGCAATCTGGTGGATTGGATTTAGATGTAAAACCTCCTGTTCATGAGTTTTCTTCTATCGCTGCCTTTCTTTCACTTATCTTATATACTAACAGACAACTTTATACTTGGATGGCAAACTCTGCCCTAGCTAAGAATAAACTCTATCATTAGCAGTGACATGCAATATGAGCAGCAGGTGCTGATCTAAGAGGTGAGGGAAACCAAAGATGTTCTCACAGCAGGGATGAGCATGAAGATTTGGAAAAAGTTATTTACACTCAGCAATAAGGAGCACCTTCATGCTGTGAGATCCACTAGACAGTGAAAGAGATTTTCAAAGACGAAAACCTCTACCCTTGAGGACACTGGAAATAACCTTTGCTAAAGATACATACCCAAACAAATATGGGAAGAGATTGCCTTTAAGATTGACTGTGTCTTTACCCTGGTTGGAATGTTTATTTTGCAGGGGATATGAAATTTTACCTTTTTCCTGGGGTTTTGCAGCCCAGCAGGGCTGAAGAAATAAGGGCTGGGAACAGAAACAACCCCCTGTCCACATGCACACATTCACCCTCAGCAGCTCAGAGTCAGAGCTGTTGTGGACACCTCTGCAGATTGAAAATTAATATCCATATTTATTGTCATTTAACGTTAGCTGATCTGGCTGCTCCCACTGCCAGCACCAGGAGACAGGCCAGACAGGCCCTGGGAACCTGCCAGCCTATTTGACAATTGTTTTTTTAGGAAAATATTCCTCTTTATGCCTGAATCTCTGCATACGGGAGCACAGTGTTCCTTGGAAAAAAGCTAGCTCTAAAAGAGAAGTTGTTTTTTCCCAGAACCTTTCATTGGTATTCACATTATAGATTTGGATTGAAAACATAAAACAAAGGTGAACTCATGGATTTGTGCCTCTTCTTTTCCATCCTTTATCTTTCTCCCACTCCTGGTAGGGACACATCAGCACAGAGCCAGCGTTCTGAAGCAGCGCATCCCAAAGAAATTCGGAGTTCACTGGTCTACTTCACTTTGGGTCCTGCAGTGCCTGCATTTGGTTCATTATATGGGTTTTCGTTTTAATTTTTTCTGTTTAATTTCTGTCTTTTTCTCCAGCTTAAAGAATCCTGCGGATGGAAACGCCTTCCGGATTTTTGCTGTGAAGCAGTAAATTCCCAAGGAAGGTCCAGTTCTCTTTGGGAGAGCGCTCTGTTGATCTCCAGAGACAAGAAAGCTCCTCTGACAGCATCAGCTCTGACTGTACCCTCCTTGCTGATCTCTTTCAGGGAATTAGAAAAGAAAATGGGGAAAAAAAAAAAAAAAGACAAAAAAAAAAAGACACCAGGTTCTGACTCAGCTGTTCGCATCTCATCACACCCGTTCAGCGTTGTATCTTCTTATGTTTTCGTCTCTCTAGGGGCATTCAGCAATGATAAACTGTTCTAACTTTCAATTTACAAGAGGTGTGCTACACAGAATGACAGTAGCTTAATGTATGGCAGATGTAGGGATCTTGGCCTGGCCCTGGATAGCATTTTTACGGTGCGAAGCACCTACTGCAACTGGTGTGAGGATGTGCACGCTGCTGAGCAGACTTGGAAGTGAGCGATTATCCAGGTGCTGGATCCTTTGAAATGAGAAACTGTTTGAAAAGTTGCATCTTTTGGGGAGAGGCTGGGCTTTCATAGAGTGGATTTGTGTATGTGTGATGTTTTGTGTGCAACAGAAGAGAAAATTTGGTCTTTTCCCAACGAGGTGGCATGCATCAGCACTGCTGTGTAAGGCTGCTGGGGCATCACGCTAGGCTATGTTGTATGATTGTGTCATGTTTGGGGAGAGGATGTTCTTGTCGGTTGGACGTCAAGGTTTTTTGGGGATATTAGTAAGGTGTGAAATGGTGGCAGAGAGCCTTGCTGCAGAAAATGAGGCCACCAGATAACCAAAACAGCAAGTTTAGTGTTTGCTGGTCAAACATTCACAGGTATTTTGCAAGTCTGGCAACCTATGAGAAGTCAGTGAATTGGGGCTCCTGTGCTGGCACATCTCATCCTATACTGCATGCCATTTCACGTAAAATTTCAGTTAAATGCAGTGTATTGTTTTATACAGCAGTGCTGGTTGTTTTATCTGTAGTAGTTAAGTAGTGATAAAGTTAATCTTATTTCTGCTAGGAATGGTTGCAGCCGTAGGAAGAGTGTTCACTTCACCTTTGTGAAGCTTTTTGTGGTGTGTGCAGTTCTGAGACTGAAGTTATGACATAAATTGGGTTAGATTAACTTTTCCCATTCAATTTGTCAATCCAACAGATCCCCACTGTCAGTGTAAATGCTGTCCCAAAGAGCATTTGATACCCAGGATGATACGTTTTGCAAAGCCCAGATGTGTTGTAATAATGTTATTCCATATTTTGTCGTTTACATCTCAACATGCACCCAACTGGATTCCAAAGCCAAGAGAAGAGCCTAGTATGACTTGCTCTTTTAAGGCTGGAGAGTATTCTCTGCTTTATATTGGAAATTAATTTTTACAATTGGTCTAAACATAAATCTGGATGTAACTTCATTAGTCATAAGAAGGCAACTTAAACTTTAATTCTTCAGTTCTCGTTAATGCATAATCCTTCTGCTCAATAACTTGATTGTAATATTTTATAACAAATGAGAAAATACTACCCTCTATTTGGCAAATGTCTCATAGCTGCTCTTATGCTCAGGTCATGTTTGTTTCAATCTAGGCAGATATACAAGCCATCTCTTCAAGCTCTTTCAAAACACAGATCAAAAATGTTTATATAATTAAGCACGTCTTTAATTCTGTAAACGCCATGAAGTCAGCAAGGAAATTACATTTATCACTCAGTTTGTCTCACCATTGGGGTTTCTTTCTCTGTGAAATCTGAATTTGGAAAGAGACCTTTTGTAAAAGCTGCTTTGCATCGTCTCCAAAAGTGCTGCATAGAAAACCTAGCTTTGTGGGGGATAGAAAGAAATGACTCTGTGTGTTGTCTTTGTTTATATAGTTTATATAGTATCATCTTCCAAGATGTATCGTATTTGCTTTAGATAGGAAAACTGAACTATTTCTTTCTTACTAGGTAAATTGATGTTAAAAACAGCTGGAACATATCTTAGAAAAGCTGCTGGTTGGAAGCATTTGAGATCTTGGCAGTGAGATAAGGCTTTCCCTGTTTCTGCCCACTGTGAATAATTACGCTGTACGTGGTCTGGTTCAAGCCCATTACATACTGTAGCATGAATCTAGGACCATCATGGGCCAAATGGTAGTCACAGTGCTATCTATTGAATTGGAAAGAGTAAGAGATGCAATCAGGTATTCTTCACAGGGACTGCAAGAGCACATAAACGCCTTGATGATGATAACGTAGGATCCCACCTCTAACATGCTGTCTGTGATAAATTACATGTGCTCTAAAATAATGGAAAGAAATGTGAGGGGTCTTGCAGAAAAGCCCAGGGGATTATTGTGAGCACATAAAAATCCAAACAGCTTGGGATACATCTACCTGACGAAAAGGGGTTGAGGAAAGAATTATTATTCCAACAGAAATATCCTAAAATACGTAATTCGAGTTACAATTGCGTATTTTTAACTTAAGCCAACTGGTTTGGATTTTTAGAAACTGATGTTAATTTAAGTTTGTATCTGTTTATTTTTATATCTGTTGCACAAAAGAGAAATTGTGACCTTACTACACAAATATTATTTGAGGTCCTGGGTGCTATTAGTTTAAACATACCTCCACCAGAATTAGGGGTGATCAGGTCCTCCAAGGCAGTCATGATATATCAATTACTTGCAATCATGTGTGCTAGCTATTCATATATAAGTGGGACAGTACCAGTTTTTAGCCAAATATTTACTGATTTTATTTCTGATACCAAAACATTTCTCAGCCTAATATATTTCAATGCAGCTTAAAGGTGCAGCATGTCTTTATATCGCCAGATCCATTCCACCTTAGACGCCAGCCCAGCAGATTAGTAAGAACATGCCAGTAAGAATTTGAAGCATCCAGGCGTAGCCATACTGAAGAGTCTGGTGAAACCTCTGGCAAAGCCAATGCTGCCTGGTTGTTCTTTTCCAAGGAATTTAGTTTTGAAGCCAAGCCTGCCAGTGTGGACACTGCCATTGCAAAGCATCTGGCTCAGCATAACCAGCTTCCAGAACACACAACCAGTGCAAAAGCTGAAAAGCTGTGCTTCCGCAGCTGCCAGTGTCCTGTCAGGTCCTTTGGCTCCATTAATATCTTGATTTTAAGACGTTCAGCCAACACCTGATTGAAGATTCTCCTCTTGGTTGTGCAGTCTAAATATTTAGGGCCAGTTCATAGAGTTGCTTTTCTTTTTTTCTATGAAAAATGATGTATTTTACTTCCTACGTGTAAAAGTTTCTTGTAAATTTTTACGTACCTTTGCATGTTTTTCAAGGGGCCGTGTGTTTATAAACTACAATTTTTTTTTCTAAATACAGAATTGTAAAATACCTTTCCCATTCCCCTCCATTTTCTTTTGATTTCTGAATTATTTGTGAAATAAAACCTTTCCAGAATGAATGCTTCCCTTGTCTTTAATGCTCAGCCAGAGCGGAGGTTTATTTAGAAGAGCTATTTGGGATTACTCCTGGGGACTCGAGTATCCCTTGGAGAGCCCAAGCAAGATCGGGATGTGCAGAGTCTGTTCCATAGACAAACAAATAAAACTGCTCGGTGTCCAGGCACTAAAAGCCAACCTTTACCCCATCTAGAACAAGAAGTATCCTTTCCTGAAACATCCTGGGAGTAAGGGAAAATCAGTGTCTGTCTCTAAGTCTCTGCAATATAAGTGCTGAAGTAGACTAAAAGTGTTTGGAAAAAGTGTTTAGTGCAGTAGAGCTGCAAAATACAACTGAGATGAGCTCCCCCCACTCAACCAGGCTGTTGTTAAATGTACCCATAATTTTTGGAAGGCAAAAGTACACATTTTATTTATTTCTTAAGTTTCCCTTGAAATTTTCTCCAAGCTCATACTTGCCAATAACACCACAAATCAAACCAAATTGTTTCATGGTAATTCAACATCATCTCGGTTAAAGGAGCAACCATGGCGATGAGTTTTACAACTCGGACTGCAAGCAATGAGCACCATATGGCTTTTGACCAAAAATGTGGACTGAGCCATGGGAAGGAATCCTGATTGACAAGAAGGCCATGAATTTTATGCTTTCCATTACAACAAGACCAACACGAAACACAGAGATGTTTGCATTACTCTTAAGCTGGCCTGGTACAGTTATGGTTGAACAGTATGTGACTGCAAAACCCAAACCAAGGACTTCTACAAGATGACATCTTTTTTCTGCTGCCAGTGATTTCTGCAATTACAAGCTGCCCACCTGAACTTGATAATGTCCAGTTCATGCTTGCTTTCCTCCATGCTCACTGATGCAAAAACACCTCCCTTGCTGAAAGTGTTGGAGAAGATTTTCACAAGCAGGCCTTGAAAGTAAGCAGGGAAGGGTATTCATGCTAATGCTTATGGTCATGCTGAGGCTGCTTAGACCATCATATTAACTGTAAGAGTTACTTGAGTTCCCGTTTGCTAGTGCTACAAAATACCCCAAAATACTCTGGCAAAATTGAGGTCCTGGTTGGCTTAGAGAGAAAAATAGCATAACACCTAAAATTTAAAGCTGACATCCATTTTTTTCTGCTAGCTTCTGACATTTTGATGCTAGGTCTGGTTTTGTGAGCTGTTGTTTCCTCCTGCTCAAGCCATGTCCTTTATCCTATGCTTGTCAGCAGGAAAACAGTGAAACAAAACAAGTGCTGCATGAGAACAACATCACACACAACACTTTGTCTTCTTTCTGGAGAACAGGTATGCAGATCAGGTAAATGAGGATTTAAAGCACAACACACAGAGGTAGGATCAAGATTGATATCCCCTTCCCAGCTGGAGGTGTGTTTCAGATTCGTGCTTTAGCGGAGAGGACATAAAAACTGGTCGGTTGAACAAGAGTAGAGGGGAAAGGAAAAAGAAACCCATGTGGACCTCAGCGAGGGTAGCAGTCTACAAAAGGGCAGATCTGATAACCCTGTTTTCCTATGTTGCTGATAATCCTCTGGGATTAGCAAGCTGCAGGCCTTTCCCTGCTCACTGTTTAAGGAAAAGG